AGGGGAGGGGAGCACTTGCTGGGTCCCAATCCCCGTAGGTTATATGGTCAAAATTGCTCTTGAAAAATCACTTCAGAGGCCCACTCAGGTATCCCACAAATGTTTATCGAGCACCTACTATGTGCAGGGCCCTGAGCTAGCACCGATGGGCGCCTTATCCCTGCCCCACGGAGCGGGGAGTCTAGCCAGGCATTAACTCAGTGGTTGGTAGAACATCAGGTGGTGCTAAGGGAATAGAGTGATGGGACAATGGGGCCACTTTAGGTAAGGACGTCAGAGGACACAGTTCTGAAGAAATGACGTTTGAGCAGATTGACAGAGATGAGGTAAAAAGTCACGTGTTCATCAGGAGAAAACGTGAGTGCCCCACGGAGGGAGCAGCCAGTGCCAAGGGCCTGGGGTGGGAACCAGCCTGTAAAGTGCCGTACACACGATCTTGTGGGTCACCCCTGTACACTATGTCCTCTCTGCCCCGATCCCCCGGAATCCCTTGGTCATGCCCCCCCCCCTACCTCACCACGTGCTTTTCCCTCCAACAGCCAGAACCTGCGTCTCTCCTTCCCAAGGCCACCAGGGCACAAAGCCACTTTGCACATGGAGGTAGAAAGCAGGCCCCCCGGGAACCGACATCGCCCGCCCACCCCTGCAGCCTTCAGCCAGTGCCCGCGGTGGGAACAAGGACTGAGGAGTGACTTATACCCCTGGGCCCCCACCTGAGGTGACACTGCTCTCTGCTTCGGAAAGGTCCTGCTTCACCCACTCCCTTAGCATTCTCCAGGGAGCAAGTCCTTACTGAGTCACTTGATAAGAAAAACAAACACATAGCCAGGGATGTCGCGGTGTGTGGCAGCGAATACATCTGCAGAGTATCATTTTACATTGTTTAAATCGGGGGTGTGGAATGTGTACCCACAGGCTGTACATACGGCCCTCGAAATCATTTGGTCTGGCTCTGCCAAGGCAGCCACAAGCGGGACTTGAAATTCAATAAATCTAGGAGATCTTTTCATAGCTAATTTTTAAGTAGATAATTTTGTATGGCCCCAGAGTGTTGTTATAAATACCCAAATGGCCTTGGCACAAAAAAGGTTCCCCAGCCCTGGTTAAATGGTGGTGACAAATGCATAGACTTGACTGTTGGATTACACACACATAGGATGCTTCCCCCACCGCATGACAGCCCATGCTCCAGGCCTCCAGAACCCCAGACTGGGGACAGAATGAAGGCCTGTGGCCTGAGCTCAAGGCACTGCCCTTTGCCATCAGGAAGGGGATAGTCCTTCTGGACAGTTAACTTGGATGGATCCTCAGGAGGAAAGGAGCTAAAGATTCTTTCCCAATTCTCACGTTGCTCAGGACCTCAAGGGTCAGCCTGAGTGTGTCAACCACACTGGGTTGACATCTAAGCTGGTGACAAAGCCACTTCCCCTGCATCCCTTAGTCCTTCCTCACCCCAAGCGCAGCCAAATGCTTTTTATCCGGAGTCC